TCTTTAACACTGAGCCACCAGAGCTCCACTTTCAAAGCTAGCCCTCTCATTTACATTGCCAACCCAAAGCTCATGGTTCGAATCCACCAGCTGCCCCACAAGAGAAAGATGGCACTCTCCACCCGCGACATTTACTGCTTCTGAAAACCTGCTGAAGGGTCAGCTATGACCCACTCAACAGTACACAACTACTGGGAATTTAGGCTGAATTAAGTGATCCCTGCCTTTGAGATCCCAGTTAGCCTTAATTCTCCACTTAGTGCTGTGTTGAGCCAAATGTTTAAAAATCTCCAGGACTCAGTTTCTAACCTGTAATATTGATGTTATGTGCCGTTGAGTAGCTTGCGACTCATAGCGACCATAATAATAGTATTGAACCCTCCTCTATCCTGTACCCACCTTATTTTCTCTAACACATCTACCCCCATTACCCCAGTCACTGAATCAGTCCATCTCATCAAGGGTCTTCCTCTCTTGCGCTGCCCCTTCCCCATTCCAAGCATGACGTCCCTCTCCAAGGACTGGTCCCTCCTTGCAACAACTGCCTCTTACAAAAACCACTGCTTTTGAGTCTGTAGGCCTCCTTCTTCGGGTTTCTGAAGCTGTAACTTTTCACAGGAGGAGCAGCTGGTGGATTCCAACCTCTGACCCTTTTGGTTAGCAGCACAACATCTAACACTCCAGCCACCAGAGCTTCTTTACGAGGTACCTTATATTTACACCCAGGGCAGGAGTAGGGATGGAATGCCCAGCAAACAGAACCAATCTGTTTCTCTGACTCTGCATGTGCCCTAGGTTGCCTGTCTTCCATAACTGGCACCCATCAGTGGCCTTTCCCTGAGTTCTAGACCTAATTTTTCTGTTCCATCTCTCTGAACCTCTACTGGAGGATGGTTTCATTCTCAGTGAGCCCTGTTGGCTTAGTCTGGGATGAGTTGCACCATTCTGGGGGTTCAAATCCACCTGCAGCTCCCAGAGAGGAAGATGGACACTCTCCTCCCACTCGACCTCTGTCAGTCTTTGTGAGTCAGGGCCAACAGTGTTCAGATCTCAAGACTTAAGCTGTCACCACTATGACACTAAGGACCAACTCATCCATCAGGCCCACATCTGTTCCCTCAATTTCATTCCCAAAACTCCAGCTGACGACACGCAGTGACTGGCACATGGTCGAGTAAACTTCTTCATCTTCCTTTGCTCTGCTCAGATCCATTGCTACTCCTCTTTCTGCCAATTTCACCCTGATTCTCTTGTCCATATTTCCAGAACCTAGGAAGCAAGTTTTGTTGTTGTTAAGTGCCATCAAGTCAAGTCAAGTATGACTCACAGCGATGCATGAACAACAGATCTGACCTCTGTCTTGTCCTGTGCCAGCCTCATCCCCAACATACTAGAGCTCATTGCCACAAACACTGTCAGTCCATCTCATTGAGGTTCTTTCTGTCTTTCACTGGCTCTCCATCTTTCCAATCATGATGTCCCTCTCCAAGGACTAGATTCTCCTACATGCCCAAAGTATGTGAGTCAAAACCTCATTATCTCTGCCTCCCTAAAGAATGCTGATTGTACTTTCTCAAAGAACTATTTGTTCTTTTGACAGTCCATGATATATTCAGCACTCTTCACCAACACCATGACTCAGAGGCATGGATGCTTCTCCTATCATCCTTATTCACTGTACAGCTAGCTCTCAGATGTAGAGCAAGTGATTTGAAAGACTATGGCTTATGTCTGGTGCATCTTAGTTATTACTTTTCAAGACCTTGGAAAGATTCCTGACAACAAACTTTCCCAATGCTGTACATCTCCTGATCTCCTGATACCAAGAGTGTTGATTGTGGATCCAAATAAGATTAAATCATTGGCAATTTCAATCTTTTCCCCATCTATCATGACATAGCCTATTGGATCAATGGTCAAGATATTTGTTTTCTGTCTTGACGTTGAGATGTAATCCATATTGAAGTCCTTGATCCTCTGTAGCAAGCTCAAGTCCTCCTTGCTTTCAGAAAGCAAGGTTGTAAAATCTGCACAACACAGTTTGTTGATGAGTCCTCCTCCAATCCTGATCCCACACACTTCTACAAAAAAAGTCCAGATTCTTGAATGATTTGCTCAGCTTACAGATTGAGTGTTGTTGTTCCTTGCCATTGAGTCAGAACCAATAGCTAATCCTCTAGCAGATCAATTTCATGAGAAGAGATTCCCCATCCTTCTCCCACAGAACAGCTGGTGGATTCAAACTAGGTGCCTTTGTGATTGCAGTGCAACTTCTAACCGCTAGACCCCAGAGCTCCCACAGATTGAATAGCTATAATCCTTTTTACAATTTTAAAGCATGCTGTGTTCCCTTGCTCTGTTAGGACAATAGCTTCTAGGTGTAATTATAGATTCCACATGAGCATAATTAAGTGTTCTGGGATTCTCATTCTTCTCAATATGATCTACACACTCAAATGTCTTTGCACAGTCAATAAAATACAGACATTATTACTGTTTTCTCTGCTTTCAGCCAAGAGCCATCTGACACCAGCAGTGATATTCCTGGTGCCCAGGCCTCCTCTAAACCCAGCCCGACCCAGAAATTGTTTCCCTTCTCCCTCATATGTACTGATTCCTGAAAATGTCTCTTGTACATTGCTGCACAACAAATGACCATAAATTTAGGGGTTGAAAGCAACACTTATTCTCTCTCACACTCTCCGTAATCAGGAGCTCAGGTATGGATCTTGAACAAGGTCTCACCAAGCTGCAATCAAGCTGTTGGTCAGGCTGCATTTTCATCCAGAGATGTAAACTCATTCAATTTGCTTCTACATGTATTCAGTCTGTTGGAAGGGGTTTTGTCATTTGTGTTTCTGGTTGTTTTTTTAATGCCCTTGTGGTGTTTTGCTGGCTGCCCTCTGGTGGCCACCCTCAGGATTGCCCGAGGTGTCTTGCAAGGAGGGAGCACTTAGCCAGCACGGCTGCTCACTTAATCCAGTGTTAAACAGAGTCAAGTCAGAAAGGCCTGGTCCCTGTTTTAAGGGCTTAACTCGAAGTAAAAGGACTTAATACCTTAATGACAACTGGAAAACCACTTCACTTTTACCAAAATCATACAATCGAACAAAGACACAGGTGCCACACAGCCACAGAGAAGCCATGACTGTCTACAGAAGATGTGAACAGGGGGGTCAACAACCATAGGGGTCAGTTGGCAGCTGTCCTTTCATGAGCTCACATAATCCTTTCTCTTTTCTTCATCTGAATTCCTGTAACAACATCTGTGTAGGAATAACTAGTCAGACACTTACTATTCTGAATATTTGTAACGTAAAGTATGTGTGTTTCCTCCTTTAAAAATGCACATAAACTACTTATAGATCATCTCATTTCTCCAATATGTCTTTCCGATTCTAGACACACAAGCAAGCCCTCATTAAATATTTGTAGAATAAATGAAATGAAAGACGTCAGTGACAAAAGCATCCTTCACGGATACGTCTGATGATCACGCTCTCATTCAGCATTGATGAGAGGCAACAGAGCGGGATGCCTGAGGATGAGAACAAGGAAAGGGGAGGCAGAAAGTCCGCAGTTGAATCCCTGCGGTGCTACAGCCTCTGAATCTCAGGTAAGTTGTTTAGACTCTGTACCTCAGTCCTCACTTCACTGATACGGGAAGACACTGGCTGCTGCGGCTTCTTCATAGGATTGTTAAGACAATTACATGAGTCCATATTTGTCCATATAGCATTTCAAACTCTATCTGGCTCATGACGGCATTGTGCTTGTTAATTAAAAATTAAATGGCTATCCTGAGCCAGACACTGTGCTGGGAGCCAGAAGGCATGGCGAGCAAGAATAAGTCCCTGTTGTAAAGATCTTCAAATCTACAAACAAATGACTTCTTGTTGTTGTTGTTGTTGTTATGTACCATTAACTCAGAACCAACTCAAAGCAGACTTTCCAGCAGGTTTTCAGAGGCAGGAAATCGTACAAGAGGAGATTGTCCAGCTTTCTCCCCTGAAGCAACTGGCAGATTTGAACCGCTTGCCTTTGTGGTGACAGCACAACTCCTTACCACTAAGCCACCAGAAGCCACAGTTACTAGGTGTCATCAGGTTGCCTTTGACTCATAGCCACCATATGTACAAAAGACTGAAAGTAACCAATCCTGTCCCATCCTCTCAATCTACGCTGTGCTTAACCCCATTGTTGCAGTTACTGTGTCAATTAAGCTCATCAAGGGTCTTCCCTTTCTTCAATGATCCTCTACCTTGCCAAGAGTAATGTATCCTTCCAAGGACTGGTCCCACTGGGCAACATGCCCACAGTGTGTGAGACAGTCACCGTCTTTGCCTGTAAGGAATATTATGGCTACACTTCTTACAAGACAGATTTTTTTTTTTAAATTCTTTTGGTAATCAATGGTGGCATCATGCATCATGTCAGGCTGAGAGGCTGGCAGTTCAAATCCACCAGGACTCCAAGACAGAAAGATGGTTATCTCCTTCAAACAGTCTTAGAGACCTGATGGAGGGTTGTT